GGGACTAAGTTCCTACACCTACTACAGGTTCTGCTCCTAAACCTAATATGCCTGTTTTCGTTCGCGGAAATCTAAGATTTACGAGCTGACGTATGTGGACAGACTCTGACATTTGCTCCAAGTCTTTCCCATTTACTGTGATGTTGATAGTGTTTCTCTTTTGCCAGCCGTCATGACCTTGTTATTTTCGACATTTAGCGCCAATTCTTGATTTTCTTTATCACATGTTGTTGTAATTACTATTACATCATTGTTGGTTGATGTCGCCAGTAACTGCTAATCGCTCACTTGTTTTTCCATGAAAACAGCATTAAGCACGGTTTGTTAATATACAGCTCAAAAATAGGGTTAATTTGATGACTGACCATTACCGACGTTTCGTGCGTGTCTCATTGGTCTTCTTCAAAATAGGGAGATTGATTGACAGATCTTTTGGCTCAGCGCTTACCAACCGCTGCAAACGAAAAAAAGGGCTTCAGAAGTCAGTCAGCCAACCTTTTTACAATAACGAAGACCCGTTAGGCACGTCACAAAACGTCAGTTCTGGTCAGTCATCCGATTGACAATATTTTTGTATTAGTAAACCGTGTGTTACGCTGTTATCACTATGAGCACCAGGGCACGAAGGAAACCCATTTTCAATAATCTGTACACATTCTCCTCCCACTTATCTGAAGTTTGGCGGCGCAGCGGACCGTTTCCTTGCTTCTAGTAACCTTTCGGGACCGTTTAAGTAGGCCACAATTGCATGGTGTTTTAACACCTGTAGTCATGAGCTCAAGACGGCACCACTTTGTTAAGTCGAACAAAATCATCTTCGAACACCAACGAATATATCTCTGTCGTCGTGTAAATCCGGAGAAGTGATCAGGGAAGGTCGTTCTTACCGTGCTAGCAAACGCGTACGAACGTGGTTAATTTTTGGTATATATGCCTGCGGACTAAGGCACATTCGCTTTTTTGCGTCCATTCACTGCATGTGCTAAAGTACCATGCAGCTTAAAAACCGTCTCCTATGCTCTAGATACAATGGGACGGAGAAATTCATCGTGTAAATACAGAAGATTGATAAAGAACAGTTATTGTTATTCCGGTATCGAAAACTGACAGTGTGCTAGCAAACATGTAATAACGAGGTTTATGTTTTGCAACAAACTGTTGAAACCTGTGTTGTTTGGTGCCCTCGATCTATCGTCCAGTGTTCACTCGGTGAAACACTGATTTGGGCAGTTGCGTTTTCCAGCAGTAGATGGCAGTGGTTTTGGGGGTGGGGGTGGGAGGTAGACCGGACGACATACATAATGGTCGTTAAACTAGGCTGGCACTCAACTGCCCCTTGGACTTACCACCGCTTTGCCGTCGATTGAGTCCCTGAAAATCATTCAGTTTGATTGTTGGTTGTTTGTCGTAAAATTTCAAGTAAACCTGCAATACATTGCGTTAAAGTACCAGCAAAAAATGAGACATGGCTAAGCTGGTGATCGTTTTCATAGCCAGTTTTGTTTTTTCCCTTATATTTGAGGATTTTCATAATTAAAATCTTGTACTGTGTATTAAGCACAGAATTGATAGCTGTGGTAACATAACGGTATCTACTGTTTACTCTAATAGAAAAGCAGAAGGTTCGACTTCTAGAAAATAGATCTGCTGAAATGCGATTGAATAGTACATTTGAACAAAATCAATGTCTGTTTCTTTTCTTATATTTTCATTTTTTATTTAAGATACAATTTTCGAGACATATTTCGTAAATTTTTCATCATTTATCTTTTGCTGTACTCCCTCGTATTTTTAAAGGATTCATTGTTGTATATTCTGCTATTCTTGTTGTTGTATTTAAAACGTCTACGACATTTCGC